AGCGCATCAGCTCAACCTCTGGCCCCGTGTCTCCTTGCCGGAGACTTCCCCGACTCTACGGTGGACGGGAGAGGTTGGCGATGCGTCGCGTTTCCGGGTCTGGGGATCTCGAGCTTTTGTCCGCGACACGTCCGCGGACAAGCTCTCGCGTCGCGCTGTTCCCTGTGTCTTTCTTGGCTTTGTTCCCGACGCGCCTGGATGGCAGTTTTACCACGTCACCTCGCGCCGGGTTCTGGCCTCTCAGGACGTCACTTTTGACGAGTCCGTCCCCTTCTACCGCCTCTTCCCCTACCGCACTGCCCCGCTCCCCCCCCCGCCTCTCTTCCTCGCTCCAGGTGCTGAGGTACCAGACCCCCTCCCCCCTCAGGGTGCCGCTCCCTCAGGTGTGTCCCAGGTAGACCCAGGTGAGCCTGTCGAGGTAGCTGTTGACTCGCGTCCTGCGTCTGGGGGTGCTGAGCCTGGGAGTGCTGCGTCTGAGGGTGCGGAGCCTGGGGGTGCTGAGCCTGGAGGTGCGGAGCCTGGGGGTGCTGAGCCTGGAGGTGCGGAGACTGGAGGTGCGGAGCCTGGAGGTGCGGAGCCTGGAGGTGCTGAGCTTGGAGGTACTGAGCCTGGGGGTGCTGAGTCTGGGGGTGCTGAGTCTGGGGGTGCTGAGTCTGGGGGTGCTGAGCCTGAGCGTGCTCCACCTGGAGGAGCCCCCTCCTCCCAGCAGCTGCAGGAGAGGTACCTCGAGTACTGCCGCCTCCGGAGAGGTGCTTCTGGAGCTCGTCCCGGTACTTCCCCTCCTACTTAGGAGCTCCCCCCCATTCAGGTGATCCGCGAGTGGTACACGCGGCGCTGCAGTCTTCGTAGTGGTGCTCCTGGTGCTGCGGACCCGAGCGGTGGTGCTGTTGCTGGTGCTGAGGACCCGGACGCTGGAGCTGCTGCTGGTGCTGAGGACCCGGGCGTTGGAGCTGCTGCTGGTGCTGAGGACCCGACCGGTGGCGCTGCTGCTGGTGCTGAGGACCTGACCGGTGGCCCTGCGCCTGGTGCTGAGGACCCGGGCGTTGGAGCTGCTGCTGGTGCTGAGGACCCGACCGGTGGCGCTGCTGCTGGTGCTGAGGACCCAGACGTTGGAGCTGCTGCTGGTGCTGAGGACTCGGGCGTTGGGGCTGCCACTGGTGTCCCTGCTGCTTCTGGAGACGCTGCGCGGCCGCGACCGTACTTCGTACCGCTCCTTCAGCAGGTTCTTGGTCAGGCTCCTCCTCCTAGTCCTCCTCCCTCAGTCGAGTGTCCTCTGCCTGTCCAGCCGCAGTCACAGTTACCGCCTGCCTCGCCTCTCCCTGCTCCCTCTCCTTACGCTGGTCCCACAGGAGGTCTTACAGAGCGTCGTGAGCCTGAGTCTCGTCCTGCGTCGCCTGTTCGCACTGCTCGCACTGGTCGTCGTGTCCCACGTGAGCGTCCTCCTCCTGTCTCTGGCACTCACTACATGACTCTGCGTCCCTCCACTGCTCCGCAGCGTGTCCCGCTGCCGTCTCCTCCTGCGTCCTCTCTTCCTACTCTTCCTGACCCGGAGTCTGACTCCCGTCGTGCTGCCAGTCCCACTGTTACGCGTCTCCTCGCTACAGTTGTCACTGACCCGACCTTTGAGTCCTCTGCTGCGTCTGCTCTGGTCGCTGAGTTGGTTGACTTTGCTGCTCGCTGTCGCCTAGACTACGCTGCCAGCCTTGTCGCTGAGTCTGAGTCTGCGTCTGCCTGTCCTCCGTCCGTCGGGGGTGAGTGTGCTCTCGGCACGGACGTCCTTGAGGACAGACAGGAGGAGTTCCACTGCCTTGCTGCTGCTTTGCCCCGTCTCGTGTCCTTGCTAGTTGCCCCTGAGGGAGACCCGGATGCACCAGACATCCCGACCCCACGCTCTTACGCTGAGGCGATGGCGGGTCCCTACTCCTCTCAGTGGCAGTCAGCCATGGACGCAGAGATGGCTTCCTGGAAGTCCACAGGCACCTACGTAGACGAGGTTCCCCCTCCTGGGGCGAACATCGTCAGTGGCATGTGGATTTTCAGGGTGAAGCGGCCGCCGGGTTCTCCGCCTGTCTTCAAGGCGCGCTACGTGGCTCGAGGCTTCAGTCAGCGAGAGGGAGTAGACTTCTTTCAGACCTTCTCCCCCACCCCGAAGATGACTACTCTTCGGGTGCTGCTGCACATAGCCGCTCACCGCGACTACGAGCTTCACTCTCTTGACTTCAGCACTGCTTTCTTGCAGGGCAGCCTGCACGAGGAGATCTGGCTGCGCCGCCCCCCTGGCTTCACTGGGTCAGTTCCTCCTGGCACCCAGTGGAGGCTTCAGCGGCCGGTCTACGGTCTCCGCCAGGCGCCACGTGAGTGGCACGACACACTGAGGACGACACTTGCGGCTCTTGGGTTCGCTCCCTCTACTGCTGACCCGTCGTTGTTTCTACGCACCGACACCTCGCTGCCGCCGTTCTACATCCTCGTGTACGTCGACGACTTGGTCTTTGCCACTGCTGACACCGCGGCACTCGCCCACGTGAAGTCGGAGCTGCAGAGGAGACATACGTGCACAGACCTGGGTGAGCTGACGAGCTATCTTGGCTTGCGGATCACCCGGGACAGAGCACGGCGCACCATCACCCTGACTCAGTCACACATGGTGCAGCAGGTTCTCCAGCGCTTCCGCTTCACGTACTCCTCGCCTCAGTCCACTCCTCTGCCTACCGGTCACTCGCTCTCAGCTCTGCCTTCGGATGAGTCCGTAGAGCCGAGTGGCCCGTATCCAGAGCTTGTAGGCTGCCTCATGTACCTGATGACCTGCACTCGACCTGACCTTGCATACCCTCTTAGCATCCTAGCACGCTATGTCGCTCCTGGCCGTCACCGGAAGGAGCACATGGATGCTGCTAAGAGGGTGTTGCGCTACTTGTGCAGTACGTCGGGCATGGGGCTTGTGCTTGGAGGGCGAGACCGGGTTGTTCTCACAGGGCACTCAGACGCTTCTTGGGCAGACGACCAGGCTACTCAGCGGTCGTCCCAGGGTTACACCTTCAGCCTTGGCTCTGGCTCAGTCTCTTGGCGTTCTACTCGCTCTTCTTCTGTTCTCAGCTCCAGTTGTGAGGCTGAGATCTACGCCACAGCCATGGCTGCCCAGGAGCTCCGCTGGCTGACCTACCTGCTGACCGACCTCGGAGAGCGGCCTCGTTCTCCTCCAGTGCTGTACGTCGACAACAAGGCTGCCATTGCCTTGTGTGAGGAGCACAGACTGGAGCACAGAACGAAGCACATCGCTCTGCGGTACTTCCTTGCTCGAGAGCTGCAGCAGCGTGGTCAGCTTTGTCTGCGTTACGTGGCCACGGAGGCCAACACTGCTGATGTGTTCACCAAGGCGCTTCAGCCTTGTGACCATCAGCGCTTTTGCACTCTGCTAGGCCTTGTACCTACTGGGCCTCACTTGCTTACCTCTTGACCTTGCTTGTACTGTGATCACTATATATATATGCCTACTTGTTTACTTTTGCTAGGTTGTGATCACTGTATCTCTTGTTTTGTTATAAACCTGCATGTGAACTGGTCTTGTGACCGCTTGCTTGTGCTCGGAATTTGTGTGGAATCCTTGAGATCCACCCTGAGCTTGCTTTGCTTTGCTTTGACTGGTCTTGTGACCCTGTGGTTGTCTCCCACTGCGCCTATGGGGGTGTGTCAAACATTGTATGTTTATATTGTGTAGGCTGTAGTGGGTTACACCTTAGGGGGTACACAAAGTTAGGGTTTCCTACTTGTACCAAACTCTGTGCTAGTTCATTCCATTCCTGCTCAGTTATTCTGACAAGTGGTCCTTACCCAGAGTTAGTGGGCTGCCTCATGTACCTCATGACCTGCACTCGTCCTGACCTTGCGTACCCTCTTGGCCTTCTGGCCCGCTACGTGGCTCCTGGTCGACACCGAAAGGTGCACTGGGATGCTGCGAAGAGGGTACTGCGCTACTTGTGCAGTACATCGGGCATGGAGCTCGTGCTTGGAGGGCGGAGAGACGTGGTTCTCACTGGGCACTCGGACGCTTCTTGGGTTGACGACCAGGCTACACAGCGGTCGTCACAGGGTTACACTTTCAGCCTTGGCTCCAGTTCGGTTTCTTGGCGTTCTACTCGCTCGTCTTCTGTCCTCAGCTCCAGTTGTGAGGCTGAGATCTACGCCACAGCCATTGCTGCACAGGAGTTACGCTGGCTCACTTACCTGCTGACCGACCTGGGAGAGCGGCCTCGTTCTCCTCCAGTGCTGTACGTCGACAACAAGGCCGCCATTGCCTTGTGCGAGGAGCACAGACTGGAGCACAGAACGAAGCACATCGCTCTGCGTTACTTCCTGGCTCGAGAGCTGCAGTTGCGGGGTCAGCTTCGCCTTGCTCACGTGGCCACCCGGGCCAACACTGCTGATATATTCACCAAGGCGCTTTCGTCTGGTGATCATCAGCGCTTTTGTACCCTGTTAGGCCTTGTGCCTACGTTTCCACACTTGCTGTAGACTCTGCTTGTACTGTGACCTATAGATAAATACCTGCATGCTTGCTCTTGCTAGGTAGAGATCACTGTGCTGTTCTTGTTGCATATATACTTCTGCATGTGAACTGGCCTTGTGGCCCTTTGCTTGTGCTCAGAGTGTGTGGTGACGTTGTGATCCACCCTGAGCTTGCTTTGCTTCTCTAGACTGGTCTTGTGACCCCTTGCTCTCCCCCACTTTGCCTATGGGGGTGTGTCAAACTATATTGTGTAGGCTGTAGTGGGGTAGCCCACATGGGGTACAACCCAATTAGGGTTTACTACTTGTACTCCTGCATGCTGCATAGTTCATTCGTTCGTGCTTGCACTTGCAGCTGCACTAAAATGAAACCTCGCCATTGCAAATGCTCTTAGTAGTCTTTGCATCACTACTGCAGAGAGCATCACTAGTGCAGAGAGCATGCACGGTCTAAGCAACATGAAGCATGTAACAGGGCGACTGGAAAGAGGAGGTCAGCGCCTTCCCTTGAAGTTTCTCTTGCTGCCCTGACGCTTCTTCTTGTGCCTCTTGCCGTGCGCTGCTCTTGACCCGCTTGCATCCTCGGCATCATGGGCCCCAGACGCATTGTGAGCATCAGCAGCACCATCGCTGCTCGCAGCAGGTGCCAGCAGGTGCCGTGCCTGCGAGTGGGCGGACACTGTGCCCACCTCCCATGCCAACCTGCCAGACGGGGGACGGGACGGGCGGGGGAACGTGGATTGATTTGTCAAATTTCAGAGAAGCACGGACCAGGCGCCACACGCCTGGTTTGCAAGCGTGCGCTGGGTGATGGTGTGCATTTTGAAGCGGGTACAGAGACGTGCGGGTTGGTGCAGAGAGGAAAAAGAGGAAAAGGGGGAGGAAAAAGAGGGAGGGGAAGAAGGGGAGATGGGGGGATTGAAGGGGAAGGTTGGGAGAAGATGGGAGGAGAGGGGGAAGGGTAGGGAAGAGAAGGAAAGGGAAAGAAGTGGAGGAAAGGAAGGGAGAGAAATTAAGATGCATGAGTGGGTAAAATGGGTCAAAGCATGAGTGGGTAACATGGGTGAATGCATGAGTGGGTAACATGGGTGACTGCATGAGTGGGTAACATGGGTGAATGCATGAGTGGGTAACATGGGTGAATGCATGAGTGGGTAACAAGGGTGACTGCATGAGTGGGTAACACTCATGCTTCTCTTCTAAGCTGAGCATGGCTTCAATCCTCGAGCAGGCGACACCCACCAGTTGAGCAGAGCAATGAGCAGCAGAGTGAGCAGCAGCAGGAACACCACGTGGTACAGCATCTCACTGCTGCCACCTTCCACCGCGCTGCCATCCTCACTGCCACTGCTGCTGTCCCCTCCAGGTGGGCAGGAGTAACGGAGGGCAGCGGGCAGCAGGGCGGCGAAGGAGAGCAGCAGCCCCACCAGAATGACGTTCATGAGCACAAGCGTGGGACGCTGGGGGCGAGGGAGGGATGGGGGGGAAGTCAGGTTGCCGTAAGAGAGGACGGGCAGACAGCAGAGTGGGGAAGGGTCGCAGCGTGGGACGCTGAGAAAGGGGGAACGGTGGGGAAGGGGGTGAGAACAGGTCGACGTAAGGGAGGGTGGGTTCGTTTAGAGGGAGGAGAAGGGAGAGGGAGGAGTGACAAGGGGAGGGTGCCCTGCTTCTGAGATGAAGGGGAAGTGCAATAGCAAGGCCGCGAGAAAGGAGCAACTCAAGGCAAAGTAAAGGACAGTCGGGGCATCTGAAAACAGTGTGACTAAATATTATGACAAATCAGCAAAAACCAGGCATTGAACCTGACGTGAATCGAACACGCAACCTTCTGATCTGGAGTCAGACGCGCTACCATTGCGCCACAGATCCATGTTTAAATGAAACTTATTACAGTTCAACATCCAATATAATAACCACTCCCATTCATTTTATAAGCCACGTCGTGACGTCACGCCCCAATCTCACGTTGAGGCCGGGGGTGATAGCGCCGATCGCCACAGCCGACAGCCACCCCATCCGCTCCTCGCCTGTTCCCCCCTGCTGCCGCAGCTCCTCCCCGCCTCCCATGCTGCCGCGCGCGTGCGACCGACGCCCCGCTGCTGCGTGACGCGGAACGAGCGATTGTTGCGTTGAGATCGCAAAAGGCGTGCGACAGGCGACCTGACGGCCTGAGAGGACGGCGATTCGTTGCGAGGAGGGTTATAGGGGCCAAGTGGTATGAGGGAGGAGGGATGAGGGACGAGGAGCAGAAAGGAGGGGGGAGGGAGAACGGAAAGAGAAGATGAACAGAGAGATGACGAACGAGAGACAAGGGGTACGTGCGACCAGGGTGCGAGAGAAACATCGCGACACCAGATTACCTAAAGCGAGCTCGTATTGATCGGAATTGATTTCAATGCCGATCGAGCGCGGACGGGCTCAACGAGAGCACGCATCCGACGATCGCGGAAATGGCGCGGCTAGAGTGACGCATCGGCGAGGCAGCGACACGCCGATCTGGGAATGATCGGTGAAGGCATATCAGTTCTAATGGCGAGGTGATGCCGAGCCGAGTCCGAGACGGAATGTGTGGAGCATATGGTGGTGGGAACAGGTGATAGCTTCGGTACTATGTGGAGGATAAGTAAAACACTCATTATATGAAGCACATCGTTATTATACAACATGAGGTTCCTGTAAAACTGCTTTATTCTGTATTACAAGTGAATGCTCTCTAGGCTACATGTTGTGTTGTCCACACGTTGCAGTGCAATGTTGACGTTCAAATCACACAGTAGATTGACCTGCAAATAGAAAGGGAGTACCATAACACCACGTCACACATTGGGCACACAAGCATGCAGGCATGCCTATGTGAAACAGGCAAAAAGAAATTATTTAAGAATGAAGATGTAATATGACACTCTAATTACGGTAGACACTACCGTGATGTAGGGAGTTCCGATATTGTAGACGTCCACGTTAGCTCTCGCCTCTATTGCCAGCTGCAGGGGAAGAAGGCAGCAGAGCAAAGAGGCGAGAAGGGATGCTCGGAGAAACAAACAACAGAGCGACAAGGAGCACACTAGTGCAAGTTGGTGGTGTTGTGTTGGTATTATGGAAGGGATGGAAGGGATGGCTGCATTGCAATATGCGAGCACAAAAGGAGGAGAGGGAGAGGGCATGCGAGCACAGAGACACGACGCAATGAAGTCCTGGCGCAAGAGACCAGGTGATAGGGTTAGAGAGTGAAAGCGGGGTGAACACGGGGTGAGAGTGGAGATCCATTCGCATGCATGCTGAGAAGAACTCAGCAGCAGAAGGGGGGAAGCGGCAGAATAGGGAGAGTGGGAGAGGGAGGGTGGGAGGGAGTGAGGGAGGGAGGGAGGGAGGGAGGGAGGGAGGGAGGGAGGGAGGGAGGGAGGGAGGGAGGGAGGGAGGGAGGGAGGGAGGGAGGGAGGGAGGGAGGGAGGGAGGGAGGGAGGGAGGGAGGGAGGGAGGGAGGGAGGGAGGGAGGGAGGGAGGGAGGGAGGGAGGGAGGGAGGGAGGGAGGGAGGGAGGGAGGGAGGGAGGGAGGGAGGGAGGGAGGGAGGGAGGGAGGCAGGAGGGAGGGAGGGAGGGAGGGAGGGAGGGAGGGAGGGAGGGAGGGAGGGAGGGAGGGAGGGAGGGAGGGAGGGAGGGAGGGAGGGAGGGAGGGAGGGAGGGAGGGAGGGAGGGAGGGAGGGAGGGAGGAAGGGAGCGAAGGACGGACAGATAGGGAGCACCTGTAGCGGCAGAGTGGATTGGGCAGAGAGGGCGTCACGGGAGAGCGTTGAGGCGGAGAGGGGCGAGGAGGAGGGCGGTGGCAGGAGGTGGAGGGGCAGGCGGGGGTGAGGTGCACGTGGCCCTCCACCGTGGTGTTGCTGCGCGGTGGCTGGTGGAACGCCGGTATCTGGTGCACACGCATTGGGGCCAAGGTGGAGCACACGCATTGGGGCCAAGGTGGGGGGGGGGAGGGAACCTTTTAGAAGTTAGAACGCTGGGATGTGGTGCATTGCAATGGGCGCAGTAAGGTGGGGAGAGCAGGGATTTGTTTAGGAAGGACAGATGATTGATGCAGGGCGGGAGGCATGTGGGTGGTAGGAGGGATGGGCCGAGTGGGATGTGGGGACGGGCAGCAACCACTCGCCAATCACAAACTCAAACTCCCGACTATCCATGCCCCCCCCCCCCCCCCCTGGTCACTTGCCACGCACCGAGGCATTGCCGACGTCGGTGCTGAGGTGCCGTGCGGTGATGGTGACATACTCGTAGGAGATGCCCACGTGGTTGCTGTTGCCCGCCACCACCGTCACATTCAGCTCCGCGTCCAGCTCCGCCTCCCTCACTGCCAGCAGCCCCAGCAGGGTCATGCCGCTTGGCGCGTGGATCGTCACGTTTGCGTTGGCGAGAAGTGGAGATGTTAGTAACGGGGATGAGGCGAGCGGGGTGAGGTATTTAGAGGTGGCGGCAGCGGCGGCGGCAGCAGCAGGGGAGGCGGAGCGGGTGGAGTTGGCAGGGAGGGTGCCTTCAGCGGCGGCAGCTTTGACGGCAGCAGCGAGCTGAGCGGTGTTGAGCGTGAGGTTGGCAGGCAGCGGGGCAGTCAAGGAGGGCAGCGAAAGATTGCCGGGGAGAGACATGTTGCCAGGAAGGGGGGCGTTTCCAGGTATAGGAAGAGTGGGAGAGGGCAAGGAGGAGGGGGCGGCGGCCGGCAGCAGTGGTGGCTGTACTGGCTGGGAGGGCGGCAGCAGCGGCGTGAGTGCGAGTTGTGTGATGGCGATGCCCCCCACTGAGAACTCGGGCGCCTGTAGGGGGGGAGGTGGTGCATACACAAGGGCCATCACCACAAGCTCATCACCACATGCGACCACCATCGTGGTTCAATCCCCCCCTGAACCAGAAGCATTATGCATTGCGTGATCTGGACTGAATGTTCAGCTTGAGTAGAATATAACCACCGGATTATCTATGAAGCCATCTGTGGACCTCGATGTGGGGATCGCGCTCTATTTTCCTGCGCCTTGTTGTTTGCTTTAGGCCTCACGGGACCTTCGACGATTTGGTAGAAAATGCCTTGTGTCGATCCTCGTGACATTTTGTGCCTGCTGGCGAATGAAACCAGCTACAAGGTTGCAAACCTTTGGCATAAATTATGCAGCACTTTTTTTGTTTGGCAAAAGTCTTACACCTGAAGATGCTTGCTTAAACCCAACACTTGCCATAGTAGGGCAAGGTAATCAGTTGGCACGCTGGAACGATTTTCCAGCGTATGGAAGATCTCACGTCGGCGCATGCTAGCTATCTGGTTATCAGGCAGTAATTTGGCTGGATAATCTATCAATAAAACCTGGCCTGTGCGTCCGAACTTAGTGAGTTTGAACTTGCTGCTGGAAGCTTGCACCATTCGTTTAGCCTGAGGCTATACCCAACGCGTCTTTGCAATAATTGATTGGCTTGAAAAAACAGTGTCGCAGCTGCAGTGGGCAGACTTTCATATGCGGTTTTGCGTGCAGGTTTGCCAGTGCAAGATATGGAATTTTGGCAATTTCACGGAGTGCCCACTTCTGCCGCCGCTTGGCGCACCAAGCGAGCCCCGCGGACCTCTAAAGCTACCAGACTCCCCCACCCACCCACCCACCCACCCATACACCCACGCACCCACCCACCCTGGGCCGGTACAGCACGAAGACTGAGACGGCGGCGGCGACGGCGACGGCGAGCAGCAGCAGCAGCGCGCACAGCGAGCAGCACACCACGCGCCCGCACGTCCCCCCCGCCTTGCGCTGCGCCTGCTCCGCCTCCCCCGGCTGCAGCGGCGGGAGGGACGGGCGGGGAGGGAGGGGAGGGAGGGGAGGGAGGGGAGGGATGGGAGGGAGGGGAGGGAGGGAAGAGAGGGGAGGGAGGGAAGAGAGGGAGGGAGGGAAGAGAGGGGAGGGGGGGAAGAGGGCGGAGGGGGGGAAGAGAGAGAGCGGGGGGGAAGAGAGCGGAGGGGGAAGAGAGAGCGGAGGGGGGGAAGAGAGAGCGGATGGGGGGAAGAGAGCGGAGAGGGGGAAGAGAGCGGAGAGGGAGAAGAGAGCGGAGAGGGGGAAGAGAGTGGAGAGGGGGAAGAGAGCGGAGGGGGGGAAGAGTATAACACCTCGCTACCCACTGGGTCAAAACGAGGGTGTTATTTGGCGCAGCGGAATGCCCATTAAATCTAGCCCACAGGCGTTACAAAGAGAGTGGAGGCGACGGAAGGGCTGGGAAGTGAGCGTATTGTGCCGCACGACCGCTGTCGTGCAATGGCGTCTGGGAAGGAGAGCAAAAGAAACTCGACGACGGCGAGGTGATGCGCGTGTGGGGCAGGCAACGTGCGCGAGGGAGGGGAGGGTTTATGAAGGCGGCGAGGAGCGGCAGTGCAGGTTCATCCCGTACCGTGGGACACACGGGGATGGACGGGCGGACGGACGGCCGAGACTGGGTTGGAAGACGGACAGCTGCTGCGAGGTTCTTCATGGCCGCCCTGCCAACGCACATCGAGCACCTAACGCGCATCGAGCACCTAACGCGCATCGAGTACCTAACGCGCATCGAGCACCTAACGCGCATCGGGCACGAAGTGCGTATCGTGCACCTAACGCGCACCGAGCACCTAGCGCGCATCGAGCACCTCACGCGCGTCGAGCACCTAACGCGCGTCGAGCACCTAACGCGCACCTAACGCTAGTAGCGCGCATCGAGCGATCACGCGCCTGGGCGGATGTGGCGGCATTTTCACCACGTCAGCGCATCCCGCTGCTGCCCCGCCCCTCCACCCGCCCACGATGCCGCCCCTCTCAGCACCTCACCCGCCTCGACTAGCGCTGCTGCTAGACCCGCGCCTGCGCGCGGCTGCGCGTACCTTGGTCGGAGCATCCGAGCCGCCCGCTGCCTCGCCGGGAATGTCGACTCGCGAGTAACCGCCCATCGTGCGACGTAGCAAGAGTTTGCGACGTCGTCACGCGCGTTGCGCGCTTCGAGCTGTTCTCCCTCGCGACGAGCGAGGTCGCACCCGACAGGCCGCCTGTAAATTGTACTAATTGTGCTTGTAGAGGATTAAAACGGACGCACTTACGGAACCTCGTCAGGCACGACTATGCTTACGGAAACGCACTTACGGAGCCTTGACTTGCGTTGTATTTTACTTCTGGAGAATTGCAGGATATTAAAATGCAGCAATTAGCAAGGAGGGCAGGTTGTTCAGCAACAGATCCGAATTTTTTGCCCCACCCACCACAGCAGCCACCCCTACAACAGGGAGGTTGTGTCGAGAGAGGAGATATGCGACAGCTGCATTTGTCAAGCACGCCCCCCCGTTGGATAAGCTTGTGAAGCCGTAACTTTCGTGTGTGCGATTGTCGCAAACATTAAACGAACGTCGCTTGCTCGGACAGAGTGTCATCAGGAGAGGCAATTCATTGTCCGGAGTTGGGAGAATGGGCAGGCAGGTGTCACCAC